CTTTTCTGTTTCTGTATAATGTGAAGGTAGTTTGTCTGTTTCTAAATAGTCCACCAGATATTGATAAAGGTTTAAATCTATGATTTAGAGGTAGTATTTAGGTTACTGGTTCTAGGCTCGAGTCGAAATAAAGCATCAACATTAGAATGAATACGACCAGGTTTGTGAAGAATTTCAAAATTATAGGGTTGTAGTTTCATAATCTATCGACCAAATTTTCCTTTTAGTTCCTTCGTCCGTAACCATTTGAGAGCAGAGTGATCTGTAACTAGAGTAAAGACAGAGGTTTCCAGATATTTGTGAAAGCGTTCAATAGTCCACACAATATCAGCACATTCAAGCTCAGTAGCAGCATAGTTTTGCTCTTCCTTTCTAAGACTTTTGCTAGCATAAGCAATTGGATGTTCCTTTCTTTTATTATCTTTTTGGCTTAAAGTGGCTCCAAATCCTTGATACGAGGAGTCTACTACAAGGATAAATCTTCTTTTAAAATTGGGATATGCAAGAATAGATGCAGTAACCAAACACTGTTTCAGTTCCTCAAAAGCTTTTTGCTATTTAGCTTTTCATTCATAAGGTTCATTCTTTTGAAGCAATTTATTCAGAGGTTGGACAATAGCTGAAAAGTCATGAATAAATTGTCTATAATATCCAGCCAGTCCCGAAAATGACCAAAGTTTAGTAATTCCAGTAGGTAGAACAATATTTTGAACTGCTTCTATTTTCTTAGGGTCAGGTACAATTCCTTGTTCACTAACAATATAGCTAAGAAATGGTAATGAGATCATCCAAAACTTGCATTTTTCAATATTAAGCTTAAGACCAGCTTTTCTGATTCTTTGAAATACAATCTGAAGATGGTTTAAATATTCCTCAAAAGTTCATGAGAAGATACTAGTATCATCAAGATACACAACCACAAATTTCCAATTAATATCTTGATAGACATAATTCATAAGTCTTTGAAAAGTAGCAGGTGCATTGCAAAGACCAAAAGGTATGACATTGAACTCATATGTATCATAACGAGTTACAAATGCAGTCTTTTCTTTATCTTTAGAGTCTATTTCTACTTGCCAATAACCACTAGCAAGATCCAAAGTAGAGAACCATTTAGCTCCAGACAAAGTATTAAGCATCTCATCAATACGAGAAAGAGGGTAAGCATCCTTTTTAGTAACAGCATTAAGTTTCCTATAATCTACACAAAACCGTAATTTTCCATTTTTTTTCTTTACCAGAACTACAGGTGAGGCCCAGGGGCTTTTAGAATACCGAATTAACTTATTATCTAACATTCTTTTAATTTCATTTTCAATAAATGCTTGTTCATCAGGAGAAGCAGAATAAGGTCTGGATTTAATTGGTGGCACATCTTCAGTATAAATCTGATGCTTCACAATATCAGTTCATCCAAGTTCATTGATATCCTTGGCAAATAAATCTGCAAACTCATTAAGTAGTTTCTTGAATTGTTTGCCTTACTCAGTAGTAAGTTGACCTGTCTCAGCTTGGTTCTCTGGAGTTAACAAATATTCTTCCTCAAGCTCTAATTGTCTAACAGTATAGACTTCTTGATGGTTTAATTTTTCTTGTTGAAGTTCTGTTTCTTCCATAGATACAAGTATTGCATCCAAAATTGGTTTTGTTGTCTATTTCTTTGTTCTTGCCATTGTGCTATTTGTATATGATCCTGATACAGAGAATAAAGTAGTTGATTTAAATGTTCATTTTCTTTTTGAAGTTGAATAATTTGTTGAGCTTGCTGAGTAATAATATTCTGAGGGTTAGGCTCTTGTTCTGGTTCTTTTCCTTTTTAAGAACTAGTAGAAGGTGTTATTTGCTCCTGATAACATTCATTACAGAGACCTTGATTGAGCTTCAGCTCGGACACATGTTTAGCAAATCAGCAATTTGAGTATAAAGTCACTTTGTCTTCAAAATTAGTACGCAAATTAGCAATGGTTTGCTGGTGGTCAAAATCAGCATGTGACATATCAAAAGACTCAGCCAAAATTTGATTTAATTGTTATTCTTCTTCAGTAGTTAATTGTACTTCACCAACATAGAAAAGAAGAATTAATTCCTTACTGATAAATTCTCTATTATATCTGTCTGTTTCTTGCTCTTCCTTTGCTTGAGCAATACTTTGAGATGTGATACCTAGTAGAGTTTGAGCTAGGCGATAAATACTATCCTGGTTCATGACATAATAACTTCCAGCACTTTTGTTAGACTCAGTATAATGTCTAATTCTAGTTCACAAATCATAGTTAGGGTTATATTTAGCATCTTCACTAGCTTTATAAGTATACATATGCTCAAAGCTACAAAACCAAGTTCTATTTGTTAGATTATGCATATTGTGTCTAGGATTTTCCTCCTCACACACAGTACATTTAACCAAGGTTCCTCTTCCTAATCCATGTTCATAGTAATACTGGCTTCTAGGATCTTCTCGATTTAAATTTTTATGATAGTCCTTATAGCATGCTTTGCAGACTAGAGTCCCTTCTAGTAGCATCAATTCATCATCAAATTGAGGATACTTGCATTGACAGCAATGATGCTTCCTTTTCTTGCTATAGAAATATGCCCTTCGGTTAGCAACTTCTTGTTCATTACAACCACATTGATACTTTTTATTTTCTATTTTAAGTTTGTTTCTGGGGCAATCAGTACTAATATGACCTCTTTCTTCACATCTTCTATATTCATTTTCAGGACAATCTTTAAATCGATGGGTAGATTGACCACAAGTAGCACAGGTAGTTCGTTTAGGTTTCTGGTAGAGACATTGAGCAGCGATATATCCATAATCATTATATTGCCAACACTTATTAAAAGAGCAATCCTCAAAATAATAATCAGTTTGTCCACATGTTCTACATCCTTGCTTTTTCTTGCGAGAAGGCCTAGTTTTCCGTTGATATACAGTCCATCCTGAGTCTTCTGTATTGACAGGTTCTGCTTCCAAGTTATATGCTTCATAAGGGATTAATTCTTCATCTTCATACTCTTCTTCCCAATCATCATTTACTTTACTAACTATAGGTTGACCTTCTGCAGCCTGATTATACTTGTGAGTGGTAGGTACAATAATACGATGACTATCCCAATGTATGATATACTCTTTGGTTTTCTAATCATATTGGGCTTCTATCTTGCGAGACCAATCATTTCTCAAAATAAGAGAATAAGTAGTAGCTGGTACAACTTCCATAGAAATAGAAATAGTAATTCCTGCAATTTCTATAGGAACATCCTTAATAACACCTAAGGGTCTAACTTGTTTTCCAAGAGCAGATGAAATTAAACTGTTAGAAGGAATATCTATTTATAACCCAATTTTCTTTGCAGCCTGTTGGATAATCATACTGATAGCAGCTCCACTATCAATAACAGCAATGAAAGGTTTGTTTCAAATTGTTGTTTGGCACTTCACAGGAATAGTTTGTGGTCGATTAGAGTGCACTATATTAACAATATTAGAATCACTTTGCAAATAGTTTGCTAATGCTCCTCTAATACTAGTATTGTTTAAGAGAGTATCCCATTGATTGGCAGAAGTGGTTTCTTTATTATCAGCCAAATTAATATACTGGCGAATAGGAGATCTATAACGAACTTCCCGGTCTCTAGACTGACTTCTAGACCTGCTTCTATCATAACAATTATAGTCTCGGCTGCTTCGTCTATATCTTCTTTGACTTCTGGATGAATTCCTTCAATAGTTTCGAGGACCTGATCTAGACTTCCTTCTATATTCTCTGTTACGATAGGAGTTACTTCTTCCTCTATTGAGCTGACATTGTGCAGCAATATGTCCAAAATTATTACATTTGAAGCAACGGATATTTGGGTTCATATTTTTATTTCTTTCTTGACCTCGATTACTTGGATAATTACTGCTTTCAACAGTATAAGCTTCTTTCTTGTTATTTTGCTGAACTAAATTAAGGCTCATAGTTTTAAAACTTTCAGTCAAGTCATGAATTATAGATTCTACTTTATTGGTAGATCTAGAAGCTAGGAGTTTTTCAGTTCCCATCTTCTAGCTGTTTTAATAGCATTGTTGATATTTCCAGGATTAGAAGCTTGTACATAAACAGCCAAATCAGGTTGAAGACCTTGAATAAAAAGTTGTTTAATAAAATTAGCAAAAAAATTTTCATTAGGATCAATTCTATTTCGAAGCTTTTTAAAGCGATTAATATAAGCATCAACAGAATCTGCTTCTTGCTGAATATCAAAAAGTTGTTTTCGCCAAGAAGCTTGTTGAGTAGGAGTAGAGAAGCGAGTTTTGAACATGTGATAAAAACTACAATCTCGATCAACATTATTCCTAAAAGAAGTAGCATTATGAGTATTACCCAAGGATTGATACCATTCTTGAGCAATTCCTTTAAGAGGTTTTACTACAGAATCCTGACAAACAAAATCCCAACACACAAAATCCTGACAACAAATTCCCAACACACAAAATCCTGACAACAAATTCCCAACACTCAAAATCCCAACAAATTAAAATCCAGACAAATCAAAAT